GATTTGAAGCTCCCTGCAGGTAGAGATGACTTTTACAATGTGTGTGTGTGTGTGTGTGTGTGTGTGTGTGTGTGTGTGTGTGTGCGTGCGTGCGTGCGTGCGTGTGTGTGTGTGTGCGTGCGTGAGTGCGTGCGTGCGTGCGTGTGTGTGTGTGTGTGTGTGTGCGCGTGTGTGTGTGTGTGTGTGTGTGTGTGTGTGTGTTACTCTCAAAGACGACAAGGCTGCATGGATGATGATGATGATGAGGAAGATGATGGAGAAAGATTGTGTTAATTACAGCTAATTGCAGTTTGCTTTAGCGGACCCACTGTGTCATGAAGTCTCTCTCTCCCTCTCTCTCTCTATCTCTCTGTCTCTCTCTCTCTGTCTCTCTCTCTCTCTCTCTCTCCCTCTCTCTCTCTCTCCTCTCTCTCTCTCTCTTTCTCTCTCTCTCTGTCTCTCTCTCTCTCTCTCTCTCTCTCTGTCTCTCTCTCTGTCTCTCTCTCTCTCTCCCTCTGTCTCTCTCTCTCTCTCTCTCTGTCTCCCTCTCTCTCTCTCTCTCTCTGTCTCTATATCCATCTATCTCTCCCTCTCTCTCTCTCTCTCCCTCTCTCTCTCTCTATTTCTCTCTCTCTCTGTCTCTCTCTCTCTCTCTCTCTCTCTCTGTCTCTATATCCATCTATCTCTCCCTCTCTCTCTGTCTCTCTCTCTCTCTTCCTCTCTCTCTGTCTCTCTCTCTGTCTCCCTCTGTCTCCCTCTCTCTCTCTCTCTGTCTCCCTCTCTCTCCCTCTCTCTCTCTCTCTCTCTCTCTCTCTCTGTTTCCAGATAAAGCAGCATCAGTCTGACCTGGAGGATGATCTGTGATACTGCAGCTCAGGTATCAGATCTCTTAAGAACTACACTCTTGGTATGTTCTCAAACTTTTCACAATGATTACCACCACGGAATATATTTGGCTCTCCAAGAGTCCACCATTATGGCCAACATTGAAAATCATATTTTCTGACTGTTTTGCGTCGTTTGTTGCTAGCATGTTCTGACGCTAACGTCGCCTCTTGCACTGTTCACTGTCGTTGACTTCAGTTTCCTCTTTGCACTTTTTAGGAAGCTGGTGTTATTATATTCTACATTTCTCAAAGGGTGAACAGGTAAATCTCTGAGTACAGATTCTACAGAGTAATGCATTTCTCCTCTTTTCTTCCAACATCCTTCCAGCACCAGGACCTCGGATTTTCCTCAGCAGGGATGGAAGATTCTTCTAGAAGTTGTTGGAAACAGGAACTTTCTTGGACGGACTCTTCTCTCCCCCTGAATCCATCTCATCTGTTCATCACTGCCTTTTTGATTTCTATTCTTCTGAACAAACTCCAGACCACAAAATAAAAACATCCCCAAAATGTTCTCCTGTTCGATCACAGACTCTGGTGCTCCACGCCAGCATATCGCCACATGGAACAGTAGAGTTAAATTCAGTGTTTTTAAAGAGCGTTGCAACCATAGACTGTAAATATTAATGGACAAAGCCTGAGTGACGTCACCCGTCTGTTCCTGCAGGGGGCGCTGGAGTTCCATCAATGGCGGTCTCCATGCTGGAAATGCTGTCTCAGCCTAACTTTCAGTCAACCTAACGACAGGCTGAGAGCTGGAGCTGAGGCGGGTTTTAAGCCTCCTGACAAACCGTTACACCGCGCCCACCTGTCAATCAGGTCAGCTACACGCCTTATTGTGAATAACTCTTATCCTTCATCAAATCAAAACTGATGAGTCATCAAAACATTCACCCCCCCCCCCCCGTACAGTGTGTGTCAATCGAGACATGAGCTAATCAGACCTATTTGGTTGCATTGTTTTAACGAGTTTTCACACCTAACCTTTTTGGGTTGTTTTTTTTTTGGTTAAAAAAAAAATCCAGTTTGTTAAGTGCAAGTTAGTGCAGTTTGTTTGCACTGGTGTGAAAACTGTCATTAATCCCTGGCGTGGCCCAAACAAACATGCAAAGGTCCCTTGAAAGGTGTCAGTCCACTTTTTCAGACTCTGGAGCAGTTCATCTGTGGTAAGAACTTTTACCGACCTCCATCAGCCAGTCGAGCACGAGCAGTGCATTATGGGTAGGATGGTCTACTTCCACAACATCAGCATGATAAATCATGGACAGGCGTGGACTTGTAAGTAGGTGCAGTTGAGATTTGAATGACATGATATAAGCTCACAACTTTCAACAACACACCAAAATCTAGTCGCTCGGATTATTGTGCTTCTTCTCCTGAACTGTCTTGATAAACAACTTCAGCGCCTCCGGTGTATCAGCATAATATTTTGCAGGTCCATTTTTCAAACTGTATGGTTTGCATGCATTAAAGATACCTGTTTTATTTTATTTCCCAGAAAAAAAGGATGAATACTCCTGCAGAGATTTTAGACTTTCTGTTGAAATGAACATTTAAAAAAAAAAAAAAAGGAACCCAGTGTTTTACATCCTTGTACTTTTTAGGAATCCTGCAAAAAGAAAAGTGAAAATAAACAAGAACAGGCTGTTTATGTGGCGCCCACAGCCTAGTGGTTGGTGCCCGTGCCCCATGTATGAAGGCTGGTGTACTCCAAGCGGGCGGCCCAGGTTGGAGTCCGGGTCTGGCATGTTATTCCCCACATTTATGAGCTATGTTTGGCAGCATTTTAAGCTTTTTTGTTCTGTTATATCAAGTATTGCTCCAAACCCAAATGAAAGCAGACAATAATCCTTACAAAACAAGGTATCCTTATATTAAATCCATTCATCAGAGTAACCTCGCTTCCCATGTTGGAGTCCCTCTGATTTATGTAAATAACATCCGTGCGGCAGCAGCTGGTGGCTCCTTATCGCACCGTTTATTTTCATCAGCTCTGCTCTCATCAGTGTTTGCAGATGTGCACAGAAACGTATTTCAGTGAAGCGTGTTCAGGGCTCAGTGAGCACACTTTATGACTCTGTGGGTGAAAAAGAGACTCTGGTAATTTCCTGAAATGTGCATTTACACTTAATAACATTTATTTGTAGTAGTTATAAAAGAGGAGATTGTATTCTTCCACTATGAAACAATAACCAGACACCAGTATGTCTGCCACTTCTTTATCAGCGTAACTGTTTTCACTGAACCAACACCATCGAGTTGAGCTGACTGGTTATCAGTACAGAAGTTTACAGAAACCACTCTGCTCCTAAATTACAAAATTTCAGGTTCAAAACCTGGTCGGAGCAAAACGAACACCTGCAGCTCCAATACGGAACACGCATTTCTTAATCTCATCAATTCTCTTGAGACATAAATGAGACAAGAGAGGTCTCTTAAAGGAAGAATGAGCGATTTTTTGATCCAGTAGATGTCGCCTTTGAGCACAGGCATGAAACCAAAACAAACTACTGTTTGGCCACACCTCCTCCATACTGAAGCCTCCGCTCTCCTCCAGAGACACACCTCCAACCCCCCTCCACTCACTTTCACATGAAGGAGTTATCAATTAGAACGCACCATAATTAAGCACCATTGAGTGCAATTGGCGGACAAAATTGTCCTTTGCTCGAGCTGCAATCACCTGTATCCTGCGTTGTAGTGTTAGCATGCTAATGTCAGAACTCTGCAGGGGGCGCTGGAGTCCCATTGATGGCGGTCTCCATGCTGGAAATGCTGTCTCAGTCTAACTTTCAGTCAACCTAACGACAGACTGAGAGCTGGAGCTGAGGCGGGTTCTAAGACTCCTGACAAACTGTTACGCCATGCCCACCTGTCAATCAGGTCAGCTACACAGCTAGCTATGGATAACACATATCGTTCATAAATGAAAACAGATCAGATGTAAAAAAAAAAAAATTACCTGATGTTTGACTGTTTTTACAGAGAGCAAACCAACACACCTTATGTTGTCTTGTGTTAACCAGCTGTACGATGGGGACGACTACATCTCAGTGTAAATATCTTTAAAGTGTTGATTTAAGATATGATATAACACTTGAAAACATTGATGTGTAAATTAGTGGCTCGATCTTTGTATTTGAACATGATTGATGTAAAGAGATGTAAAGCGACATGTTGGGATTCTTCTTTAGATTCTAGTTTTCTGCTGTTGGTGCTTCATTGTTTGTGATAAGTGTGTTTTATGTGTGTGTAGTAAAGATGTTTTTCACAAAATAGATGTGTGTTGGAGATTTTTGTGAGGTATTTTTTTATCTTCTGCACATCCTTCAGGTTAAATTTGAACAGGTTTAAACATACAGACTCCTGATCGTATTTTTAATCACTTTATCAACATAACAACAAAGCATCCTCAGAAAGACAAAGCAACATTTTTCTTTTTATTCTCTGGTGATCTTGTAGTTCTCCTGTAATGTGCGTTCAGCTGATCATGGGTGCGCTACGCTGTGCTCACGCTCCAGAAACGGAGCCAGTGGGACAGGGCGGACGCCATCCAACGGAGCAAAACCGTGGCACGCACAGGTATGTGGAAATTGGGGGTAAGAGGACATGCGTCTAAACATTTTATTCTACTCTGTGATGAAGAGTTTATTTCAGTCGTTTCCTCAAGATCTTCAGAAATTAAATAGTTTCCAAAGCAAAGCCAGCGTTATAAAGCCGAGACAACGAGACACGTCGAGATCTTGAAACAACAACCAAAATGTATCATGAAAAAGAGTAAAATAAAAAGTATGGCTGTATGTCCACTTAGTGTTTCCATAGTTGTTTTGAGTTTTGGACAATTGCAGCTTGTTGTTCCTTGCTGGCCACCGTATTAACTTAAATTAAAGAAAAAAGAAATACTCAAAGAAAATTTAGAAGCTATATGTAACATTAAAACAACTCATGACATCAGTATACAAAAGAACAAACAATAAACTTTAATTAAATCAGTCGAAGCTTATCAGGTAAAAACAGTTTACAGAGTCAAACAGAGGATCACATGTTGACTTAAGGGGAGCTGCTCTCTCTCTCTCTCTCTCTCTCTCTCTCTCCCTCTCTAATCATTCATCCAACCTGGAGCTGGGACAACCTTTGACTCTGCGTGTGTTTGCAGTGCATGCTGGGTAAGCAGCATTGGGTGTAGTGATGATACAACAGGTCGGATGAGTTTTTGGAGATAGAAGCTGCAGCAGGAGAGAGAGAGCTGAACACGTAGAGGTAAGACTTCACTGAGAAACGACGGTTATTACAGAGGCTCTTTAACCTTTAAATGAACGAGCATTTACATAAATCCACCACCAGGGGGCTCTGTGAGGGCTCTGCCTGAGTGAGTTTACAACATTTTGCATGTTTTTTTTTATTTCTATTCCACTTAGCTGTATCGACAACCGAGCTGAACTTCAACTTTCTCTGCTCACGGTGCTTCCCCTCTTTTTTTGTTTTCAAACTGTCTGTGCATATTCCTTCCATGAGTACATTGTTTTTTTAACATCTCTAATGCTCAGAGTTTCCAAGCCTCTAAGTGGACCTCCTCATGTCCTCTTGTCATACAGAAAAGGTGTTTAAATATTATTTTACACTTTTTTTAGGAAGTTAACAGAAGTTTGATGCCTCTGAGTTTAAAAAAATGAAACATGTCTCATTTCCAGACTCAGATCCACATTCCTGCTCAACGACATAGTTCCTAAAGAAGGGGAGATTTGAGAAAAACAAACTGAGGTTCAAAGATCAAAAGGTTAAAAGTCCTTCAGCTAGCTTGTTTATTTATATTTACATTGGGGTTTTTAGATTCTTAAAACTTTACCACAATGATGCACACTCATAAAGTTGAGTCTCTTTAAAAACTGATGAATGTTTTTGATGTTTTGTTTTAGGTGCTTAAATGTTCTTTGTCCAGGATTTGTGTGCGTGTGTGTGTGTGTGTGTGTGTGTGTGTGTGTGTGCGCGCGTGTGTGTGTGTCAGAGGATTAATGAAGTATCTAAGTTAAAGTGAGAAGTACAGAGATTTGATTTACTGCCTCAATAAGATTTTTCAAATGTCACAAGGAAAGTTTTTTCAGTGACATGATTAAGATGTTCGTTAAATAAGCAAATGTTTTGTGTTTTTAGATATCTTGTGTTTAAGATATTTTTTTGACAATTTTGCCTTTATTGGAAAGGACAGATAGTGTTGTAGTTAAGACCACAGTAACTGAGACCAAGCCATACTCGAGACCAGAGCGTGCAGAGACCGAGACAAGACCAAGACCATAAGTCACTGAAACATCATCATCTTGTGTGCAGGGGGCGTGTCACTCACTTAGACCGTAACACCGGGAAGGTTGCGGACGTAACCGGCGGATAAAAATCTAACTCTTAATAAATACTAAACAAAGTTGTCTTTTTCCTCGCCTGTCCAGCAGATGATGGCGGCCGCAGAGTACAGCCCTCTGACCACACATGTGCTGAACACCGGAGACGGCGTCCCTGCAGCCCGCATGGCCCTCAGTCTGCACCGACTCGACTCCAAGCTGATGATCTGGAGCATGCTGAGCGTCGGGTAGAGAAATTACCTGCAGACAAAATCCATCAATGTTAGCGAGGAAAATCAATAACATCAAAATATGTGATTTTAGAAATAAGGCCATCGTTTTGCAACATTCAGAATATTTACAAAGCTAAATAAAATATACCAAATGTAAATATATATCATGGAGTAATGACTCCTGAGAAAGAGAGTGAAGTCAAACTCCCTCTGGGTTTGTTGTTCTCAGCTCTGTGTTCACGCTGACAGGACGCCACGAGGGAGGAAGGTGTGTGTTCTGAAAATCTGCTCTTTTACAATTGAGCTGTTTTATGATTTTAGGACAACAAACACAGATGGCCGCTGCCCTGGACTCATCGGCCGAGAAGCGTTCAGCCCGGGCATGTACAAGCTGCGCTTTGAGACGGGTTCATACTGGGAGAGTCTGGGTCAGACCTCATTTTATCCCTATGTAGAGGTGAGCTTCAGGTAGCTGTAGGATAGAAGCTGTTACCAGTGACAACCACAAGATGTCGCCAAACACCTCAAATCTGAAAATCCTCATCAGAAACACTGTCTTCAGTATGTTTTAGTTAAAATTTTTAAATCAAACATCGTTGTCACAGATTCATGATGATTCCAAACATGGACTTTGTAGAGGTCCGTTTATATTTGTGATGCTGACCTGTGTGTTTCTGTGTGTGTGTTTCCAGGTTGTGTTTACCATCAGTGACCGGGAGCAGAGGTTCCACCTCCCTCTGCTGATGAGTCGCTTCTCCTACAGCACGTACAGAGGAAGCTGAGAGGCCTTGGACTTGTCCTCTTTGTGGCCATGTGGCAGACTTGTGATACATTTTATAACTGTAAAGATTCAAACACTTGATTGTGACAACAATTTGTGTTGTTTTATTTATCTATCGTTTAATGTAATCATGATCATGGATGTAACCGCAGACTCTTCTCTTTGTCCCGTTAGAATCGTCTGCGGTTGTTTTCAATGTTAATGTCACTTTTTTGTCACTTGTCTTAATACTGCAAACTTAATTATTATTTTTGGGAAAAAATAAAATGAACCTCTGATGTATGTGGTTTCTCAGTGAGACTGATATTAATGCAAGGGAAGTTTATTATATCGCCCCTTTCACACGCTATATCAGACAAATTCATTATTATTATTATTATTATTATTATTATGAGGTAAAAAGAATATTAATATAAATACGTTTAATTAAAAGAAAACAGTAAAAGTCACCTCACTTTGGGAACCACAGAGTTATTGTTTGTCTGCAGGTTACAGAATATGTAAGACTAAATGTGACGTAACTTTCATCATTCTTTAAACCTGTAAAATGTTTCCTCTTTGTTTTATTGGTTTAGGGTTAGGGATTATTTGTTTCATACCTTTAAACATTAAATGATTTTGTTTAACTATGTAATTCGGTCATGTTAAGTAATATGTGGAAAACGCAAAGTCACTCCATGTTTTGGTAACATGAAATCTTACATGACAGAAAGTGCGTCTCTGTCTCAGCCAATCAGAGCGAAGGTGCGTTGCGAGGACCCGCAAGTGGCTTCCCGAATGCCTGAATTAAATTAAATAATTGTACATTTCTTTAATATATTTCATTCTTTCACATTAAATAAAAATAATTTATATGATTCTATCAAGGAGTGACCGTCGCTGACCGTAAATCTATAAGAAAAAGTAATTTAATATTTTTTTCCGAACAACATCGTCCAGCAGGAATCTGAAGAGTCAGTCCGTCGGGTCTTAAAATCATCCTCTCGTTGACATTTCATGCTGTTGCTCTTATTCAATAACACTCGGAGCTTCAACAATAAGTGGAAATTAAACAAAAAGCATCGTGTTTTGGACTTTAAGACCGGGCACACGGCACTGGGAGGATGTCTCAGCTTCTGAGGCTTCTCTCGGAGGCCGCTCTGCCTCTCTGCCGGGCCGGAGCAGCCCGAGCTCGGCTCTCCGCTGTGACTGCTAGTCGGCTCTTCGCAGCCGGGTTTCGGAGCTCCGCTGTCCCGGTAAGCAAAACGTGGAGGATTGTTAAGTTAACAGTTTTCTGTTAACAGTTAAAGTCTGTCGGTGACTCTGTAACCTATGGTCCCCTTCAGGTGAGGTTTGTAGTTACATTTAAGCTGAAATCTGTGCGTGTGGAGGATTGGCTATCAAGCGGAGTCTGGCCCCATACCAAACCTCATTACAAAATCTTCATTTTAATGATTCGTCTTCTGAATGTACTCTTTAAATCTCATTATTTGATCCTATCTGATCTACTTTGATCTACTGTTTAAATCGGCATTAATTTCATTTAGAAAATAACATCCATATAGGCAGAAAATCATTTTTGGGGGGGCCGTCCAACCAGCGTTCAGCAGGGCAATGAGAGTACATTCTGTCAGATGGGGTGCCCTTAGGGAGGTTTCCTGCGGTCATCACAAAATTTGCACATAATTTGCACATTAGTTTAAAGGCAGGGTTCCCCTCTGTTGCTCCCTCAAAAGCCACGCTCCCTCACTTACATGCAAAAGTGCCATTGGTCAAGAGGTGACCTGAGGCGACGCCACAGTCGGCCTTCGTCGCCACTAGTTCTTTGAGTCTGCTTGGTGAGTCAGGGCCTTTTAATGTGGCTTTTAAATGTCAGGTGTGAGTCCATCGCTACACCCAGATTTCTTACCTGGTTTGTGGTTTTCAGTGTTAATGCCTGAAGCTGTGTGCCGGTGTCTTACACATTTAAGTAAATAAATAAACCTTACACCACAAAAATGGCAAGCTGTGCAATATTCTGCTTCGAGACGAGACACATCTGATAACCTAAGCTTTCTCTGGTCTGGAGTTTTTAATCAAATTACCTTCAGTGTGTGTTTTTAGACCTTGTTATCGGTCTGGAAGGCCGTCACGTAGCACAGAGGCATCACATGTTCTGTTTTTCCCCTGCAGACCCTCTCTGGTTGTTGTTGTTGTGTACTAACTGTATCTCTGTTGTGTGTCTTTTTCAGAATGTCTCACGGACTCCAGCGAACTTCCTCTCCTGTCGCAGATTTCAGACGGCCCAGAGACGGCTTTACTCCACTGAACCCAAAGGTGAGAGTGAGAAAAGGTGAAAGCTGTGCTTACCATCAAGCAGGTAAAAAAAGAAAAAAAAAGAACATAAGTTGTCCGCAAATGAAAAATTATAAAGCTTTGAAAATGGACACAGACACTCTCCACTAAACAAATGTATGAACAAAAATCTGGTGACATAAACGGACGACACTGAGGGGAATGTGTGGAGCGTAAAACGTGCTGTGAGTAGTCAGAAGTCTGTAGCCCCTTTCACTCTGCTTTTCTTTTTTTTTTGCCGTAATTAAGCTCTGCTATCGTCACGTCTTTGTTCTTTCATATCGATTCTGTGAGGTTTTTTTGGTGTTGCTTAAACACGGCACATCAGGAGCTCCACACACACACACACACACACACACACACACACACACACACACACACACACACACACACACACACACACACACACACACACACACACACACACACACACACACACACACACACACAGTCACACATGAACACACACAGCGCTGCGCTCCCCTGTGGGCTCCGCTGAAATTGCTCACCTCTGTAACTCTTCTTTTACTACCTCAGAAGACAGAACTGAGGGGCGACACTGCAACATTCAGATTGAAGGGGAAATGTCACATGGGCGTAAATATCGAGGCTTGAAACGCCGATCTGAAAAGGGCAAAAAAATCAAGTCCAAGTCCATTTTCAGGAAGAACGTTATGTTTTATAAATTCACATGTTCAGACTTAATTTTCAAACAGGCTGGACGAGTTCAATCGTTCATAACTTTTCT